CACGACTTTCAACCAGCTGAACAATCTTTGATTGCTTCCTAGCCAGCATTTTCCCCCCTCATACCCCAAACTCATTCACACATCCCATTACCCTTGCCTATAAATGAATAAGCAACTAACAGTGAAAGGTTCAAAGGAACTAATCCAAATGTCACTTGTGGAAATGTTTCAGGCTCTTTCTCCAATTCTCATCAGTCTTTATTCATACTGTTTAAATTTTATCCCACATTGACATGTATCTGATTCAAATGTTCAGCCTAGAAGAGAGATTGTTTCAGGGTCAGGGTAATTAAGGTGAAAAATGGCAATGCTAGTGTGTATATTTTCTTCCCTTTTCTACTTCCCTCTGGCTTCATCCTCATGTCCATTGATAGGCATGATGATATCATCATGCAAATGACAATTACATATTTGCACTGTCTTGCAAATAGCTAGGTCACTTCATTTTTGTGATGATGTCAACATGTGTCCCTTTTGACCTCCTCCACAGATACCCCTGTCCCACAACAGCTGAATGAACATGATCCAGTCATCATTTCGTGTATCTTGTCCCCATCATGTATCCTTTGTCTTGTATCTGTATCTTTAAAGTCATATTGAGTTATTCCAGTTTTGAAGTATTGTTTTCCCTCTTCTGGTGACACATTTGTCATGCATTCTTTGATATTGCAGTAGATGAAGCTCCTGTTGACCACTTTTAGGGTTTGGTGGGATGCCATCTCCCATCTTGGAGACTGGAAATGATCCTCCATAACCACTTGGCTTAGGATGTAGGAAAGACTGGCACCTGGCTTCCACAGAGTCTGATCAGTACTTCCCAAAGGGCTTGATGGGTCTCAAACAGGTTCCTCTTTTGACAATGCTAAACCTATTTTTAAACTGTTTTATCTAGACTGAAGGTTGATTTAAACTAGGAAAGACTGCAGGTTCTGCCAACTTTGTTGCTGGTTTTGTCACCCTTGGATGAATTATTAGTTTCTGTTGCTTTAGGCAACAGGGCCATTTTTGTGGCCACACTTTTTTATGATTTTGTTCTGCATATTCCGTTCTGGCTTCATGGCTGGCCTTTGGCACAGTTGGCCACCAGGACAGAACTGGACTTGTAGCCAGCATTATTACTCTCTTAAGCACTACTAGTCAGAGACAGAACTCCAAGGTTATTGATCATTATGCTTTCTTCTCATGTGGCCTGTCAGTCAGCATTTTAGGGAGCAAATACAATGTTCTTTCTGTTAGTCAGGCAACTGACAGGTGCTATTCCAAGCCCCATCTTCCCCCACCCCAATACTATTTATTAAGGAGAGCAATTGCTTTCGGAGGAAAACAAAGGCAGGAGAAATCCATGCACTGCTCTCCAGCAGTTGTTCCCCTTTAAAGCAGTAGCTGGCTGCATTCCTCATTCATTCTGTGGCTGAGGAAGACTCGACCATCTGGGCAGCCATTGCTACGTAAGTACCCTTGTCTGCGGATCACTTTATCACGGGCCATTTGTCGGCGCCCTTTTGCCTTTTCCCCTCCCGCCCTTCTAATTTCGAGCCCGCAGTCCTTCCAGGCTCCAGGCGCTCCTCTGACTGAGTTCACGGGCTACTGAATCTGTAGCCACGAGGAAGCCAACGACGTCGTGGATAGTATTCGGGGAAATGGCAGGCAGCGGCCAGGCGGGACCTGGACCCGTGGACTCGAGCGGCTCTCAATCTCTTCGAAGAACCCATCCCGCGTGGAACGAAGGTCTGCGGACGGAGGTTGGCTTCGGCGCCCGCCTCTTATTCAGAAGGGGCGGGCCGCGTCACGCACCGGAGTGGATGAAGAGGCGCGACCAGCAGCCCCGCGGTCACCTGCTCCAAGGATCCGAGGGAGGCGGAGCCTGAGGGAGAAGTCCCCTTCCGTTTTTTACAAACCAAAACGCCGCGCCCGCGCGAGAGAGATCCCGCGCGCCTCGGAGAGAGCGAGCGAGCGAGCCGGCCGAGCTCCGTCTCTCAGAGCGCGAGTCACCCACGGGGGAAGCGAGAGAGCCACGTTCAAGAAAGCTCGGGGAGTGTCCGGGAGGGGGCTGAGGCAGAAGAAGAGGAGTGGTGCTGAGGGAGTTCCACACATACACACCTTGAGTGGTGCCCAGACACCGCACGAGACGCACGCACGAGACGTTACACACACACACACACACCCGCCCGCCCGCGCGCGCACACACACACACAGACACACACGCACATTCGCGCACGACTAGGCGAGCGCAGAGGCGGCTCACACACTCCAGCGAGAGGGCGCGCGTGGAATCCGAGCTCAGCATCCAAGCCTTCCCTTGCTTTGCCTCTCCCTGTCTCCTCCTGTCTCTGTGGTTCCTCTCCAGCCCCACGCGCTTTCTTGTCCTTTTTTTTTCTCCCCTCCCCTTTCCTCCCC